AGGGGATGTACTTATGGTACTAACACCATTGATCTACAGTGTATAACAGCAGCAATAGAGCCTTGTGGCCTAAGGACATTCCCTTCCTTAGAGCAATTATGGCCATTGTCCTTTGGTTAAGGCCACTGAGGAAGTCATTGTGGGATCTCTTTTAACCATCTTTGTACCCTATGCAATAGAAGCCCTTCTGAATTCTCATCAAACTCAAGATTTTTTAGTAAGTCGCCTCACCCATTATGAAATCCTTTTGTTAACTGCTCCTCACATAAATTTTTCATGTTGTAATAACCTGCTATTTTCTTCCCCTCCATTGCCAGCAAAGCCCCTTTTGGCTTCTGGTCAAGATATTGATGTTGGTAAATGCAGTGCTTGCATCCTCCCACAACCACATCAAAATTACAACTAAACTATAATACAGAACAACCTTCATTCAGCACCCACAAAGCCCTTCACAACTATTTAACACTGACGGATGGATCACCTCCTGACCCTTCGTGATGATCTACAGGAAAATCCTGACTTCTAGTGGCTCACTCATAGTTCTTATTTAAAAGGTGACAATGGCCAAAACCGTTTTGGTTCAGTGGTAGAGCATCTGTGGACTGAAGGGTCCCGGGTTCGAATCCGGTCAAGGGCATGTATGTTGGTTGTGGACGCATCCCCAGTGGGGGATGTGCAGGAGGCGGCTGGTCAATGTTTCTCTCTCATCGATGTTTTTGGCTCTCTATCTCTCTCCCTTCCTCTCTGTAAAAAAAAATCAATAAAAATATATTTAAAAAATTAAAAAATAAATAAAAGGTGACAATGGTAAGTATTGTGCAAGATATACAATATCAACAGTCTTTCTAACTGAAGCAGTATTTTTGCCTTTGCTACTCAGCCCCAAAAGTCTAATTATATGGGCTCATTCTTGTTTACGCTGGCATGCACCCTAGACACGGTCAAAACCAACAACATTCATATTGATAGTGGATGTGCTTCAGAGTAACTCATGATACTGGAATGTTGTGGAAGCAACATGGCTTCTTTCCAGTGGAAATAAAGTAAAAATTGGCCAGTATGTTTGGGGATTATTGGCTTCCATACATTTACATTCTACTTTAACTATCATTAAGTTCCTAGGGCATTCAAAACTCAAACTCCCTGGCAACTAAAGGAAATCAGCCTGCAAACACTTCTGCAGGGAATACTGCTCTTTGAAACAAGTAGCAGTTAAAAAGATATTTTCCCAAATGATAACTTAGACAAACTGCTTAGAAAAAAACAACAATTGGCCTCAGAAAGGAAAGAAAAGTTTGGAAATCCATAAATCATTTGCTTGAAAAAAGAGAAAGCTCCAGTTCAGACCGAATAACAACCTAATTCTAACAGACACCCTAATATCCGCACTCCTAACTACTGTCCACGCATTACCATGATCCACTGACAGAATGACAGCATTCAGTATTAGTGGGGGAATCAGTATTAGTGGGGGAATTAGTATTAGTGGGGGAATATTAACAAGGCCACAAAAAGCACCTGTCTCACTTGTCTCATTTTTTCAAAGTACAACCCAGGGAAACTGTTCCCACAGCTCCCAGACACTTTAAATTACCTAATGGACCATTCAAGGGTTAGCAAATGGATTTCATACAGCTCCTCATCTCATGGACCTGAATGTGTTTTAGTCTCATGGTCTACGTGTTTTCTCATTAGACTACTACCTCTAGTGAGTAGTAGTCAAAATCCTTTTGGAAAAAATTGTCTCTACCTGAGGAACCACTCTCAAACTCCACAGTGATAGGTCCTATTGTATAGGTGTAGGAACCATGCCAGAGTGTGCTGGATGTTCAAGGCTAATTAGAGTGAGAAGATCTTTTTCAAAGTATGCTGGATATTTAAGGCCACTCTGAACATGGGAATCTTAATCAGGGTGTCCAAAGACTATAAGCAGGTGCAAGGATACAGACACTGTGCAGATGTGACCTTCTGTAACCCAAAAGGTTTATGTCACTATTTGGTTAGAAGCCTCTTTTGTCTAAGTAGTATTAAAGTATGTTACTGAAGCTAGAGAGCTCAAGGGGAGCTCAGATATAGCTACTATGCTGTAGTGAGCTCAGATGCAGCTACTATAAGAGGCTGCGGGTCTAGAGGCAGCATGTGGTTGCTCAGTTAATGACTATGGGGACAGAGACTCCTGCTGCCGTGTGGGAAAGATCTATTGTTACCTAGCCAGTATGTGGCTATCTGTTTTTTGGACTACTTAAAGAACTGTTTTGTCTAGTGGGTTCTTGTCAGCAATGTCTACATAGCAATTGGCCCCTCAATAAAGACTTTTATATACCCACAACTTCTCATGGCTTCTCTGTCTACCACCCGGTGTTCAGCAGGTCCAGCCTCTAGCAGAGGGGCTCAGACACTCCTGTTGGTGTAGTGGAGCAGGAGGAAGAACCTGTGCTCCCACACTTGGACCAGATGGCAGGGTGGAGCAATGCGTGTTCCCAGCACAGTACAGTGAGCAGGGTTCAGGAGGAACTTACTCTAACAATTGGCGCTGTGAGCAGGATTTGGGAGTAAGTACTCTAAGAACTTGCCGGGCTTCCACTATGGGTCAGATGCTTTGACAAGTCTGTGCTGTTTGGTCAGTTTTATAACACTTTGACTGTACTTACTACCCTCACCCCATGCTATTTGAACACATTATCAGCATTATGACAATTGGCAAAGATTATAAAAAATAAAATAAAATAAATAAAAAATAAAAAACTTAATTGGCAACATTTGTAGAGACCTTCCATGTTCATTGGTCCAAAGCACTGTCATTGGTCCTTCTAAATCTCAGATCCATTCCCTTTGGAATGCACAAACTCTCACCCTTTGAGATAGTTACAGGGCATCCAATGCACCTGGTCCCTGCCCCTTGATCCACAGCTGATAAAGGAGACATATTTCAATACTCTGAAGGCCTGATTGCTTGTAACAAAATAACTATGTTCTGTTGCAACAATCTTTACACAGGGCATTCCTTCAGCCCTTCAGCCACACACTCCACAGCCTGGAGGTTTTACCTGCTGAAAAAGACAACTTTGGAAAGACTAACCTCAACCTCACTGAAAGACCTCTATCAGGCATTGCTAACCACTCTGTGCCAACAAACTCCAGGAAATAGATATCTGGATTCAGGTGACATGTATAAGAGAGCACTTCTGCCTGGATTTGTACACCACCTAGCGACTCGAAAGTGAAGATTTCCTGAAATTGATGGTATCTGATGAGATAGCTTTCAGGAGCTATTCAGACCACACAAAATTCACAGAAGCTTTCATCTAAGCAATGAATTGACTCTAGATTCTTATCAAATTTCTAAGTTTCTGAATTCACCCTATAAGTTGTACTGTTGATAAGACATTTTATTCCATTTTATAATTTCTTGTGAATAATATTGTTTAATATGTTTTCTCCCTACATTGTGTCTTCCCAAAGCACTTGTTTTGCTTTCTGTTCTGAGGGTACCTTTGCTGTATTTATTATCTTTTAAAAAAAAGATTTTAGATAGGAAATGCCTGTGAAATGTTCATCTGACCCCTCCTTGATATTCAAATGAGACTATAGTAGGTATCTAACTGTGCACTTTTCCTTTGAGGTGGAATGTGCCGAGGAGTCATGGGGGCAGAAAGCGGTTCATCTCCAGACTTGCTCTGCTCCATCGCTTTTCCCAAGAGGCCCAGGAAATGTCAGGTCATGGCTGCACACAGGTTACTATGTACTGACTACAGCCAGGTCAGAAAGGGCTCGCTTTTGTTCAGAGCAGACTCTACATCATTGAAGAGGGGGATAAGATCTTCAGATTCCAGAGTTCCGAGGTCCACATTGGTTCCTGGGAGACAGTCCAGAAAATCAGGGAAATGGGTCTGCTGAGGATTGATGTTCATGGGTGTCTGCCCTGCCTTTTCCCCTGCAACCGAATGAGAAGAAAACATTTTCACTCCTTTTTCAGGTTCTTGAAAGAGGGTCAATTCAAATGTGAACATAACTCTTGTCTTCACCTGTGCTATGTCTACGCGGAAACAGATTACGTTGCTATGGGTATAAAATATTTCATCTCTGGGCAAAATTTCAGCTACCACACTGACTCTGAGCTGGTGATGCTAGTCCCTGGGACATGCAGAGGTGCCAGGGGAATCCGCAACTGTCCTGGGTCGATATGGGCCAGAGGAACAAGTCCTGGGAGAGGGTAGGCACAGGTGAAGGCCCTGGGGGTCTGACCTATGACCTGTGTCTTCCCCTGAGACAGTAGCATGAAGAGCTGTTTTGTAAAAGAGTGGAGAGGCCCTGCCTGTAAGAAATGCCTTATCTCAGGGCGATAATTTCAGGATTTAATTGTAAGCTTATATGTACCCATAGCCTCCCTCTTATGTTCAAAGATAATAGTGAGGAGTTCCTTTTAATGGTGTTATTAAAAGGCTGTCTTCATTGAAGGCACTAGGGATCAATGTCAAAGCATTTTATAAAGTGGGTTCTGCAGACCATGCCTCTCCCTCCACTCCACCCCCCACACCATCTGCCTTTCTCACAATGCAGGAGGGTCACAATGCCTGTGAGCTCAGGAAGGTTCTGAGATGTCTTGCAGTGAAGAAATCTGCTTTATTTTGTTTCAGCCAGTGTTACCTAAGCTCATGTAATCGCCTAATCCAATTTTGGCAGAACTTATATCCTAATAGAACTATAGTCTATGGAACTCACTTAGTCTCCACGGAAAAATAGTTACGCTGATCCAAGGATAAAACACCCAGGACTCTGGGTCAGGGAGAAGGTATATAGCCATCGGCACTGAGGTTCAGCTCCATTTGAGAAGAGGAAGCAACTCCAGAACTCAGTTCCCAGGCTGACTGGCTTCTCAGCTCCAACATACAGATTGAACAGGGATATTGAGTAGGACCCTTTGCTCATAACTTTGAAGAGACCCCGTGAAAGAGGCAGTGAGGGACGTTTCACCCGGTCCTGTGCCATCCTTCCCCAACATGTGCACCGGGGTGATGGCCAAGTGCCTGGGGGTCACCCTCATTCTGCTGTCCATGATTGCCTTCCTGGCTAACATCCTTTTGTTTTTCCCTGGAGGAAAAGAGATAGACAACACCAATCACCTTTCTGAAGAGGTCTGGTATTTTGGAGGAATATTAGGAAGCGGGTTCTTGGTGAGTATTAAAATCCCCCTGAAGGAGATTTTCTCCCCATTCTTCCAAAATTGGACACTTACTAACCAGGGAGATACTTAGTTGCTAACAAAAGCCTAAGCATTGCTTGGTGAAAAGTCGGTGCCTTAATTGTTCCTTCTCCATTAGGGCCTGACAAGGACCTGTCTGCTGTATTTCTGGGCCATTTAAACTTGGTCTGGCGGTTCTCATGGGCCAATTAAGCTCCAGGAACCAAACTGAAGGTCTCAGAGTTTCTTAATTCAAACAAGAGAGGGTGCTATGGGGAGGAGGAGGTGAGAGTGGAAATACACTTTAGAGCAAATTGACTGAATCACCAAGAGCAATAGGTATCAAGAGGATTCTTCTTCCATTTGTACATGAAGGCTTTCGAGCTTCTGCTTTAGAGAGAGATCCTTATCATGACAATCCAGGACACCTGTTTTTTTGTTTTGTTTTTTTCTTTTCTTTTCCTAGCCCACCATCTAAATGGAGACTGGGGGTGTCAGAGCTTGCAATCTTGGTCCATTGAAAATGCAGTTAAGTCAAATGGCATCAAAATATTTAATAACACTGATCCACCTCACCAGCCACGCTCTACCATTCCTGCTATAACCTTCAGCCACCAAAGCCCACATCATGACTCTGGCTCCTCACATGGCCAGGCAGGTGGGGGCCTTGCTTTCACATCCCAGACCCATACTGAGGTGCTTCTCTTGCTGACAGATGCTCCTTCCTGCTAACGTGTTCTTGGACCTGAAGTACAATGACTGCTGTGGGTGCTGTGGCAATGAGAGTTGTGGGAAGAGATTTGCGGTAAGTTACCGGGAGGGGGCAGGCAGACACCATAATTATTCCCAAGTACACTGTCCCCTCCTGCTGGACATCTCAAGGAGTGCAGAGGAGTAACCAACCCCAAGCAGGTCTCTGGGAACAGCTGGTGCAGGGATAAAGATGTATTCTTCCTGTGGATGGAAAGTAACTATAACAATACATTTAAAATGCCACCTCTGATTTCACAAACAAGCAGAGTTGTCAAAGCTGGAGGGCTGCAGTGGAGCCATATAAAGAACCAGGATGGGGAGGCAGAGATGGGGAGTGGCCCTCTCCTCCAGCCATGAGAGGCCTGAGACCCTAGACAAGTCATTTCCTTCTCTGGTCCATCTGTGAAGCGGAAAGATAACAAATGTAACCTCCTGTCTTCTTTAGCTCCTAAATCTCCCATGCACACCACTGCCAGTTCACTATCTCAGTGCCCAGCTCTTCCCACTTCTCCCTGCATTTTCCCTTAGGACTTCTTCCTTCATGCAGCCATCCATATTTTCACAGACAGGTAGAGAGATTAGGCCTTTCTGTTCCTCTCAGGGTGGGAAGAATTCTGGGAAGTAAGGTCACGTCCCATTTTCACAGCTGGCCAAGTCACTGTCCTGCTCTCTGCCTCGCTTTGCTTACCTGTAAAATGAGGAAGTTGGACTAGATCAGAATTTCCCAATTTAAGACATGCTTTGTGGGTATTCAGATGTGCTATATTTTTTAATAGCAGAGAAGGTTACTTTTCAATTCTCCTTCAATCCTTTGAGTCTATCATGAAAAAGAAAATCTTATTTTGATGGAACAAAGTTCTTACTATTCCTAACCTTTCATGATCTCCTTTTCTAACAAAAGAACAAGCCCCCAGCTCCAGGATTGCCAGCAAATTAACAAGGAATGATATATCATTCCTTGTTAATTTGCTGGCAATCCTGGAGCTGGGGTCTCAGGTTCGCTTTCAGCTGGGGGCAGGATCAATCTCCAGTGGGGGGGGGGGGAGATGTGGGAGGCAGCTGATCGATGATTCTCTCATCACTGATGTTTCTCTCTATATCTCATCCACTCTGAAATCAATAAATTTATTTATTTTTAAAAAAGAATGATATCGTGCTCTGTTTGCTAAAGATCCTAGCTTTTCATTCAGATGATGATATGAATGAATGAAAGTGAGGGTTGACTTAAAGAAAAGTATTAGGAGATCAATACATTGATGTGGCAAAGGTGACGGTAGAACTGGAACGAAGGTGGGGTGAGGAGTAAGGCCAGCTCCTGCTCCCATCTCCTGAGGTTCAGTTGTCCCCGTAAGAGAATTGAGAGCCCAGTGATAAACTATACCTTAACCTCTTTAAGGGAAAGCTATCTGTTCTGAAATAAAATCATGTCATCATTGTTTCTCACCACATTTACTCATTTATTGAATCAAACAATACTTACTGAACGCATATGAAGGGCTGAGGCTGGTGCACAGAACACAGCACACGGATTTTCATGGGAGATGAAAGATCATTCAACGAAAACGATCTCACCTTCTTAACACCATCATGAGTCCCAAGTAAGCATCAATTATTATAATAATCTTTAAATCTCATTTACAAAAAAATGTAAAATAACCAAAATTTATTGATATATATATAAAAGCCTAATACACTAATTGTCCCTCTGACCATTCAACCATTCGACCAGTCACTATGATGTGCCCTGACCACAAGAGAGCAGATGCTCCAATCCGTAGGTTAGCTTGCTGCTGAGGTCCAGCTGATCAGGACTGGCGGAGACAAGACAGACACTCCTTGGAGCCCTCCTGTGGTCCCTCTGACAGTCCCTCCCTGGCTCTTATCATATACTGGTGGGGTCCCTTACCTTGGTCTGTGTCCTCTCCCAATCCTCAGGCCAGGCTGAGGGACCCCACCGGTTCACGAATCCATGCACTGGACCTCTAGTATAATTATATTATATGTGCCTCCCTTTGCTTACCTGCAATATGTGTAATATTTACAATAGGTCCTCGGGTTACATTGGAGATCTATTCCTACAGCTTGATGTAACTCGATTTTCACTGTAAGTCAGAACCCACCTACTTAAACACCTATGTCACTCACATGGAGCACATCATACATGGTAGTAATGAAGTGAAAAGGTAAAAAAAAAAAAAAAAAAAAAAAAAAAAAAAAAAAAAAAAAAAGCCCTGACCTTTACTTGTGGTAAATAAATAATAAATAACATAAAGTACATATGTACATATATTGAAATAATGAAACATTTTTTTACAAATGAATGGGAGATAGCGACATAACCACATAATGACATACATCAAATCCAATGTAACTGAGGACTGCCTGTATTTTTATATTAATAAGATAGGAAAAAAATATATAATCCACTTTCCCCTTGAAATGTAATTTTGTATAACATGGAATATTTGGGAGAATAAGTTGAAGGTGAGAATTTGGGGAGGAGGGGAAGGGAAACAATTAAGGATATTGAGTGAAAAGAAAAGAAGACTCATTGTTTAAAAGTCCAGCAGCTTATTCCTTGATATTGAATAGAGGTGAAGCTTAATCTGTTAAAACAAGAATGTTTTTTTTTTAAAATCTTTATTGTTGAGATTATTATAGATGTCTCTCTTTTCCCCCCACATTTGGTTCCAACTCTATCTTAAGCCCTTGCCACCTATTGTTTGTGTCCCTAGGTACTGCATAAATGCATATATGATATTTTTCTAATCTCTTCCCACACCCTCCAACACCCCCTTTCATCTGAGAATCATCAGTCTGTTTCATTTCCATGCCCCTGCTTTTATTTCACTCACCCGTTTATTCTGTTCCTCAGATTTTTTATTCATTTGATTTTTAGATTCACTTGATAGTTATGTATTTATTGTCACCTTGTTCATAATTTTTTAATATTTATCTTTTCCTTATTTCTCCTCTTCTTAAAGAATACTCTGCCATATCTTATCTAATAAAAGAGTAATATGCAAATAAATCATCACTCTGCTATACCCGCAAGCCACGTCCACAAGCCAATCAGGAGCAAATATCCAAATAAGCCCAACCAAGATGGCTATAGCCACAGAGAGCAGAGTGAAACTTGGGTTTCTCAGGTAATGGAGGAAGCCAAGCATTGTGCTTGCCCTTGCTGGCCTAGGCCTCCACTCAAGACTTCAAAGTTTCAATGATAGAAGATATATAAATCCAAACAGAAATGGTGGCAACCACAGAGCTGGAAAGAGCAGGAGGCTATGGTTTCTCCTGGAGATGGAAGAAGCCAAGCTTCACACACACCCTGGCCGGGCCAGGCCTCCACTTAAGGCTACAAAGTTTCAATTATAGAAGATACATATATCCCAACAGAAATGGCTGCAGCCACAGAGCAAGCAGAAGGCTTGGCTCTGCTCCAGGTTACAAAGTTTTAATTGTAGACGATAAATAAATCCCAGATACCAGGGCCTCTACTTTGGTCACCAGGGGGCACGGCCAGCCTGAAAAACCACCACAGGTCCCCCTCCCAGGCCGCCCCATGTCCCAAGGGAACCCCCACCTTGATACAGGACATCCTTCAGGGCAAACCAGCCAGCCCCCGCTCATGTACCAGGCCTCTATCTTATCTAATAAAAGAGTAATATGCAAATTGACCATCACTCCAACACACAAGATGGCTGCCCTCATGTAGTCAAAGATTATGCCCCCATGTGGACACAAGATGACCACCACAAGGTGGCCAGAGCAGGGGAGAAAAGTTGGGAAGGACCAGGCCTGCAGGGCAGAGCAGTTGAGGGTGATCAAGCCAGCAAAAGAGGGAAGTTGGGGGCAACCAGGCCTGTAGGAAAGGGCAGTTGGGAGGAACCCAGATCTGCAGGGCAGAGCAGTTGTGGGGGTGGGGGGAGTACCAAGACTACAGGGGAGAGCAGTTGAGGTGGACCAGCCCTCGAGAGGAGACAGTTAGGGGTGACCAGGCCTGCAGGGAAGGGCAGTTAGGGGCAAACAGGCTGGCAGGGGAGTCGTTAGGGGGTGATCAGGCTGGCAGGCAGAAGCAGTTAGGAGTAATCAGGAAGACAGTCAGGCAAGCAGTTGGGAACCAGCTGCCCTGGATTGTGAGAGGGATGTCTCATATTGGAGAGGGTGCAGGCTGGGCTGAGGGACACCACTGCCCTGTGCACAAATTTCATGCACCAGACCTCTAGTTTCATATAATGCTGGTTTGGTGGTGATGAATTTAGTTAGCTTTTTCTTTTCTGAGAAGCTCTTTATATAACCTTCAATTCTAAATGATAGCTTTGCTGGATAGAGTATTCTTGGTTGTAGGGTCTTGCTATTCATCCCTTTGAGTATTTCTTGTCATTCCCTTCTGGCCTGCATAGTTTCTATTGAGAAATCAGCTGACAATCATATGGTACTCCCTTGTAGGTAACTGTTTTTTTTCTTGCTGCTTTTAATATTATCTCTTTGTCTTTTGCCCTTGGCATTTTAATTATTATGTGTCTTGGTATGGTCCTCTTTGGATTCCTCTTGTTTGGGGTTCTCTGTGTTTCCTGGAGTTGTAAGTATATTTATTTCACCAGGTAGGGGAAGTTTTCTGTCATTATTTCTTCAGATAGGTTTTCAATATCCTGCCCTCTCTCTTCTTTTAGCAGCCCTATAATTTAGGTGTTGGTACCCTTGAAGTTGTCCCAGAAGCTCCTTACACTATCTTTATATTTTTTATTCTTTTTTTTAATGGTGTTCTGGTAAGGTGATTTTTTGCTTTCTCATATTTCAAATCATTGACTTTATTCTTGGTATCCTCTAGTCTACTATTGAATTCCTGTATATTATTCTTTATTTCCGTGAGTGAATGCTTAATTTCTGACTAATTATTTCCCCCTTTTTTGGCATTCTCACTAAGATCTTTGAAGGTCTCATTAAGTTCCTCAAAGGTTTCTAGAAGATTCTTGAGTAAACTTGTAACTGTGGTTTTGAACTCTATATCCAGTAGTTTGCTTTCTTCCATTTCTTTCATTTGTGACA